AGTTTGCTTATTTGCTTTTGCGACACCTTAATCTGCCGCGAAGGATCGGTTTTACAGTTCTTCTTACCACCGGGCGTCTTGAACGCACCCACCTGGCGCGGGGTTGGCCGGTGGTTCCGTAATCGATGCTTCACGGTTCTCCAATTCTTCCCTTTTCACCGGAAGAATAGCGCGCCACTCGCCTTCCTTTAGACTGACCTTTATTTTCATTGAATAGACTTCAATGGTCATTTCTTAACGAATGGCGAAAGTAACAAATCCCTATTGATTCCATAACGCATTGTAAATTATCAAAATGGTACTCGTGTCATGGTTTATTTTTTAACACTATTCACAATAAATAAAATTCAAAAGGTGGAGTTAAACAGTTATTTATTTCTATAAATGGAATTTTCAATTGTTGCCGTCTTCAAATTCTTTTATAAATTATTCGAAGCTAACTTAAATTACTCGATTACCAGTCACCAATGACTCCGCAGCCGCGTTCATTTTCTCATACCGTTCACGTAGAGGGAAAAAGAGAAAATCAATTCTTGCATCATTTTTATCGTTGAGAATCAACGGCTCGCGACGAGAAGAATTTTCTAATCGGCCGATCGTCGGCCTTGTTTCGTATACATACTTATATACCGGTCGGAAGGACAGGAAGGGTGTCGCCGTTCGAAAAATGAGAATGCATTACCCCGACGCCTTCTCCTCTCAGTTCTCGGGTAGATCGACGTTGGTGGTTCGGTGGATAGCAATGGCGTTGGGGATCTGGACGCTATTACGAACGTAGCTAAGAGAAAAAGGAGAGAGCTGGCCGTGAAAAACGAAGATGGAAGCCACCTCTCCTCGCTCTCGGCAGGCATTCCAAAACAAAGAGCCGCGATGCTGGTGGACAATATGTAAATCAGTGGCTGGCCGTGGTCACGATGTCGCGACCTCGTCGTTCCCTCTTCGGGATACCTTCTTAAACCTCCGTCACCGCCACCATACCCGCGATTATTTCCCATAAGGGCTTGAAAGATCTGTAACGATCCGTAATGGTTTCCTTAGCCACGATTCATCCTATTTTCTTTCTTCATTTTTTTCTTTTTGTCTTCTATCGAGTGGTCCTTGTTACGATGGTTGGAGATATCCTCGAGTAATTGTACACGGTTAATCTGGCAATCAGGAGGTTTGGAAGATGATTGATTTGGAAAGATAGGCGAGAACCAATTATTGGAGAATGAGTTTGTTCCGATATCTAAAGGGGTAGGCGTAATGGGCAATTTGTCAATGAAATTTTCAACAGTTTTAATTTTTCTTCTAAGAAATGTTTTATAAGTTATTGATATCGATTATATATGTACGTTTTATCAATATCAAAAATTTGATTTTATCCGTCTACACGTTTCCCCTAATTAGTTCGGATAATTAGAGGTTCTATTGTACAAAAGAACCGGAAATTGAACGAGAAAGTATTTTCTGTTCTCTTGTCATTAGCACAACAGTAACGACGATCGGAGGAAACGTATTAACGAGCTCTCTAAAAATACTTTATCGATGAGTGGAAAATTGTTCTACCGAAACCAGTTCATACACTGATTTCTACGAAAATGATCATGTAACTGTAGTTTTTATAAGCTATTATTAATAAATTGTAACTTACTGATCACTTTCTTAATAATACCATCTAAATGGTGTCATGGTATCGTATTAATACAAATATCTATTTTCAAGATTTATTTGTACAAAATAGGGTGCAATTAAGATAGGTTGATTTTTATAAAAAGATATTTATTTTCCTCGTTGCAAATAGTGTCAAGATAATTTACTCAGTAACTAACTTGAAATTTAAATTACATCTAGATATAAGAAACACATATTTCCCTTTTGTATTATAGATTAATGTGACATTCGTCATCCGTAGTGATCACTATTTTATATTCAGTATACAAAGATCAAGATCGTTATGGAAATCCACATGGATACAACGATGATGACGCATGCATCGGTCAGATGACTCTGGTTCCCATACATTTCGCGAGGACGATCGACGATATAGTACAACATATATACCAGTTCCACACCCAGCTTCTCAAGCTCTCCTATCTACGGCAATTAGTCGTTAAAAGTGTTCGTGTGTTTCACCGGTTATCGACCGTCCCACCCACGTGCCCGAATCGTCCTCGAAGCGTTATCTCGCGACAAAATGCATCTCGTCGGTTTCGAACAGCTGGCCAAAAATCGTGCTCGAAACCTACCACCGTGGAGAACGATCGCCATTCGAGCAAACACCATGGCAACGCGAATGTTGCGAAAGAAACCGAATTTCCATAATACCCAACGTCGTCCCGTCCACCTTCCAATCTTCCATCCACCTTTTCCTTTTTCTCTTTTTTTTTTCTCTTCTTCCTCTCGATGTCTACGCGGTGTTCATGCTTCTCGGAAGCGGTCTCACGGTTCCCACGAACGGCACCTCTTTTCTCTGAAACCATCTCGACGTCGACCGAGAGAAATCGCGTCCTCCTCTTTGTATCTCGATTCATTGTCGAAAAATTGAAAGAGATTTGTCGGTAATAAGCTTCCAAATTTAATTGATACGTGATTATTAGCTTTGGAGGTGTTGGAAGGTTTAGGGTTGCCATAAGGGAAGGGCTCTTATAAGAAAGTGTTTGGAACGATGTTTTTTTATACAAAGTATTTAAAACGTTGGGAGAAATTAATATTGACACTTTGATGGTCTATAATTTTAACCCTTAGCTCTCTATTGGCGCCTCTAATTTTTGAATTGTAATTACTTGATGAATGAAATAGAAATAATCGTGTAGGAAACGAGCTTATTTACCCTGAATAATAAAGAAACACAAGGGCGTTCTTTGCTTAATCAGTGCTAAGGAGAATCGTGTATCTCCAATTAGCCAGTCGGTCATTCGAAGGCGTGGTGTCTGTGGTAATAGGACAAGGGATGGAAACTATTAGCACGGAACCGCCCTTCAATCAACACTAGGTAAGAACGACCATACATCATGGTTTGTTTTTGTAGAGTTCCTCTTTAAATTGACTCGTATCTTCTCACAAAGTAAGATGATATAAAGACCTTTGTACATTGTCCCTTAATCCTTAATTGGTACGATGGACTCCTGGTGTACCTAGGGCGATCAAGTAGTAGGAGACACCAACAAGGTAGCAAGTCTGGGGGTGATACGAGTGTTTAAAAGGGACGTTGATTAGAATTGGTCCTTAACACGAAAGTTTTCCAGCAGAGATGATCATACCGAAAGAGTTAAACTTTCAGTCTTCAATTTTCCAATTTTTCCAAAATCTCTATAAATATTTCACCAGTGTTTACATTTAACATTCCACTGGTCGATTAATGAATGAGATCCATTTTACACTGGACCGACCACCCGATCCTGGCACGTACACGGGAGGTTCGGTAATCTGGCATCAACCCCATAGCTGGCGGGTGTTGTACAAGGGTATACCACGGCATTCCGCCACCGTGGACCACTCAACTTTGGAAGGCTCTTTTGTCTCAACGTTATTGAAAGTTGTCTCGAGGGTCGCTAAGAATGTAGCGGCAGGATGCCTTCGGGTATTCAAGGACGAGAGAGTAAGGTAGCACGGTAGAGTAAAGATGGAGTAGGAGAGAAGTAAGCGAGATAGCGGGTGATGAAGGAGAATGGTGAGGTGGTGGCAGAGACTCCGAGCAACAGGCCATGCGGGCGCACTGTCCTAATTACAACGAGGCCTCCTATTTTTTTCGAGCTGAAAGGAGCCGAAGTATTTGGCCCGCGGCAACAGAGGCTAGACGATTCCCGGACGCTCCCAGGACTCTCTCGGCTCGGAACGAAGTGCAAAAGGATCGTCGGCACTTCGCCGTCATCGGCCGAAAAACGAAAGAGACGCGGTGGAAAGGTAAGAATGGTCGAGAGAAGGACGGTAACCGTTCACCGGCTGGAACGTCGCAGTTTTCCCAGCCATTCATGGTACCGACCGATTTTTTTGCCCTCTTCTCACGACTCATTCATACCTCGCCGCATGAGATCCGATCGTCGATCCCTACCTGCATCATCGGTGAAGACATCGCCGAGCGCATCATCCTTTTCCGAGCACTTCTCTGTCCCTGTCTGTGTTCGGTCCAACCGGTATGCATGCGCCGGCATCCTTTCGGATTCCACTGTTCGCTTCTGCCTTGTTAACCAGCCTTAAATACTTGTCCACTTCCCCGATGATCCTTGTATAACGGTACGCAGAAATATTTCAGGGGATGAAAGTCGTGGCTGATGCAAGTCAAGTTAGATTTATAGATCCTTGTATAGAAAATAATAGTGCTACCATTACCCGACGGTGTACCTCATTTTCTGGATTTAAAATTCATAAATATTTTCTAAAGAATTTATGCTTCTACTATTATTTAGTAGCAAGAATTGAAAAATGAAATAATTGTAATGGAATCGTGATAGGGAAGATTGTCGTGGAAAGGAAAGACACGGGGTTGTATGCAGGAAGAAGGGCTAACGATCTTAATAGATAGGCAAAACATTGACACCTTTGCGGCGCTGAGGAAACCAGCTGGGCGAGGACACAGAAGGGAAGACCGGGGCAGGGATCGTCAAACAAACGTCAGCACGAGTGAAGTGAAAATCCTTATGAGAAGGTATATAAGTTGGGAAGAGCCGGTGACAACGAGCTAACAGCATGGGCAAACACGGCGGCTTGGGACAGAGCCGTGGCCGGGACGATGATCATGTACTTACGCGTTTCCTCTCAAACATCGAAAATGTAGACAGCAACCAAGACACGACGACCCGGCCATTGATCATGGGAAACGACCAGGCTAACTTACACCGGCAGAAAAATTAGCAACTAATCATCTGCCGCATACCGTCATTTTTTATCATTGAAATCGTTTCAATGGTCTGGAAGAAAATGGATCACGAAGTTCATCAATCTTCCATATGGATACAGTTTTGATGGGAAGGTAGATGGATAAGAAAGGTGTGATTAAAATCAAATGAAAACGCAAGATATACCATGTAGAACTGTCTTTGGTTTAATATGATACAACGGAGCGGGCATTTTTGGGGTTCGTGTGTCCCCCAAGAGGGTTACATATTCACATACATAATTATACTTTGTAGCTTCTATATCATCAAATCTGTTTATGTACAACATACACCAAGCAATCGTAATTAATCTACACGAAATTTGTTGTATATTGCCTGCATCAATCTCATAGAACGTGCCTAGTTATCTTCATTTTCCCTTCAATATATTTTCAGAAAGATTATTAATTTCTACCTGGCACGTTCCATGTATCTTTACACAAGAATTACACACTGATTCAGATACGAATACAAATTTTGACAGATTGATAAAAAAAATTCTATTTGAAAAGAAAAGGACAAAATCCTTATCTGCAATCGGTAGGATTGTCTTTAGCTGATAGACGTTCGAACTTGCGCTGCTGCTTACGAGTGGAACATTCAAGTCTTTCCTAATGAGTATATTCATTTATGGCTCGTTAACACTTTTTCGATTTTTAACCCTTTCGTTACTTAATAGGCTAATCGCCATAGTGAAACTGGCCATATGTAGCAAGGCACCATATTATTTCTATTTAGCCATTTCACTTGCTACTTTATTTAAATAGTACAATATTAGTACTATTTAAAATTTTCCATTTTTAATTATTTGATTAGGTGTATTAAATTTGTGGTTTCAGTCATCAGTGACCGTCGTTAATGTTTTGAGATAGACAGTGTTAAATATAGATAACTTTTGGTAATTATCTAAAATTAAAGATTCTTTCACTGAGTAATTTGGCACAGAAATAAAAATTCGTATGCTTATTAATCTGAGAGTGATTGGAAAATGATAAGATCTTACATGGAAGAATGATCGTAATTATGACTTGGTTGTTATATTTAGAACTCACGTTTTTTGGTAAGTGGAGAGAGAAAGAGATACTTATAATTATAGTGAATTTAAAAAAATACAAAGTTTACTATTAGAATGAATTTTCACAGTTTCGATTACTATTTATCATCAATTTATTAACAAGCTTTCTAAATAATTATTTCACAGATAGATGACTAAATTAGTTATAATCATAACCATATTCTTACGCTTAGCCGCATTTCTTATAATTTTTCCATCACTTTCCGGATAAATGAGAATTCGATTTTTTATTTCTCAGAGCATGGAAGAATTTTTGATTTCAGATTATTATTAAAATTAACTTATTTTTAATACTGTTCCTTAGTAGATTAACAACTAAATCCTCAACTTTTTCCACCCCACTGCAAGGAATTAAAAATCACCAAATAATGTAGCAAAATATCATTGACCCAAATGATACTTATCCTAATTGAAAATTATTATTTATTCAATTTTAACAAATAATTCTATAGGAAAGAGAATGCAAAAATCGCGAATCTAATTGCCAACCTATCAATTTTAATGACCCTTCGCTTTAATTTTCAGGAATAAAATTTTGAATAATGTTTCTTATTATTTGTGAAAGAAATTATTATTGCTATCGAAAGGGTTAAATGAAACCGAACTAAAATGGCAGTCTTTCTTACTAAAAAAAAAGAGATGATTGATGCTTAAAAAAAATGAAACAAACGACGGTCTATTAAATAAAAAATATATAAAATAATGTGATAAAATGAAATGCGCATTCGAGATCGATTTACGAGATCGACATTGCCACACAGATCGGCCTTTCTTCTCGCATTTACACACACACATGCACACGTTCATTCTTTTTCTCTTTCTTTCTTGCTCATTTCTCGACCTTTCCTCTTTCCTCGGCACAAGAATCAGGTATTTCGATTCGGGCATGACAAGCATTTTACTTGAGAGATGTTCGACGATGCATATCACAGACACGATGATATGACATTGAAAATGTTAGACGCTTGTAAAAAAAAAGGACTATTTTAAGGTAAGCTTATAGGCCGCCAATAAAATGAACAAGAATTAGTTTCAGCAGGAAAAATTATTAAGTACGATACAAGTCTGCAAGGTCGATCATCTTCGAGCAAATACTGTTGTGCAAGGCAAAGCGTGACCCACCCTTTTTCTGGCGCGAAAATTTACATCTCAAAATGGTAAAAATATTATTGGTTTTTTAACACTTTGACGGTTGTATATTTTACGGAATCAATGGCTCTTGTAATTTTTTTAACTACAAGAAAATATATTAGCCTGTGGAGTCAAAAAATTTTTAATAAAAATTACCAATTTCCAAATTGTAATTGTTATATAATAAAATAAATAAAAGTGAGGTAAAAAGTTCATCCTTGACAAGGGACGTCAAAGTGTTAATAAAAATAAAATGCTAAAAAAATAAAAAAACGTAAAAATATCACGAGTGATTAAATAAAAATGAAATAATACTTTCGTGCCATTGAGGGGTGAGTTTCGTTGAGCCTGCCACAATTTCGTGTGAGTATCAAAACAAAAAGAAAAAAGAAGGAAAAAAAGATTCCTTTAAAAAGACCACTCGTTCGAACAAATGTCGAGATAAAATCGGTTTCGTGTGATTGCATAAAAAAGAAAAGAAAATAAATAAGATACAGAAGTAACGGGGGGAGGGGTTTGATGGTACTCTTATCTTTACATTATCTTCATACCTTGAAGAGGTACGGTCAAGCGAAGGGAAATAGCAGCAGCAGCGTCAATGCGTTTCCTTCTTCTTCCCCTACGATACCATTAAAATTCTACTGATAACATTAATAATAATAATATTAATAATATATCCTCTTCTGTTTCTCTTATGCTCTAGATAATTTTTAAGCTCAACTAGACACTTTAAATACAGTTAATCGGACAATGTAAAATCTTTATAAAAATAAAATAAATAATCTGAATAAATATGAATATAATAATAATAATAATATTACAGTTAGTCAAATAAATTATCATGTAGGATTAAGAGTGGAACGTGGATGGCTCGTTTACGACGTTTCAACGGACGTCATCATTTCGTGATAACGTTGCTCGCGTGATAACCACGCGTACGATTTCTCTTTTCTTCATTTTCTCTTACTTTTAAGTTAAAGCGCGAATACTGTGTATTTTCTTGTGTACTTAGGATATAATACCGCTGCGGTGCACAAGCTCGTTTAAACGGATTCCCTTCCGAATCCTATATTCCCTCCGTACTTCGTTTCGCGTCCCGTTTCAAACGCCTTCAAACCCCATCAAACACTCCTCAATCGAAATGCGTTTGAAACGTTTTATCGGCATGACTGTTTTATCATTTTCGACTACCCAAATTTGTTCACACGAGTAAAAAAAAAAAAAAACACTACAAGTTCACTGTTAAAATATTCTAAAAAAAACTAGATACGATTGAATGATAAAAATGCTACAAGGTAAAAGAAATCTAAAATGGATAGGGCGTAAACAGCTATACCGGTCGACGCGAAAGAAGTCGACATCGAAACAATTTTCCCTTCGAGTATGTCGTTCGGAACTGACTGATCTCTTCGTGGTCTGTCACTTACTACCCATCTTAACACTTTAATAACGACACTTTGGATACGGACAAAAACGAACGCGTCTGCACGATCGTGAAGTAAAGGGCGGCGAAAGCCAATCCGGGCTGATGATTGCACGACTCTGGTTCCCAGCACATAGTCATCGACGAAAATCAATCGATTCTGTCTGAAAGTCATGGAAGTGAACTGGATTTGCGACCAGACGATGGAGGAATATCGATAGGCGAAGCAGCTTTGTCCATTGCTGACAGCACCCATGACGGATAATCCTCGTGGTGAGACGCATCTCGAAGAAACCGGGACGGATATCGAAAGCTTCTGGGCCTGCTTGACAGAGCAAGCCTAAGCTCGCTTTTACCGTCTTTCCGCACCTCCAATCTCATGACGACACCTCGCCATTCAGATTGGTACGCGGTTCCGGTTTCCGGAGATGCGCGAGTCGTCGTCTGGTAGCCCTTCTTCGGCTTCCGCCTTGCCATCCTCAGGACTGCAAATTTCGGCGTAGATGCTCGAACACTTGCACCACATACTCGAGGCCGTTCATGTAGTCCCGGAAGATTAACCAGTCGCGTAAATTTCGAAACGTTTCCGATGATGATATCGCACGAAATTCGGGCGACATGATGTCACGGGTCACGTCGGGACGCGACGATAACTGACGTTCCACTAACGCTACCTGCAGCTCGCAGAGAACCTGCAAAAGAATATTTTTCGGGGGTTATTGGACTGTGGTGATTGTAGAAAATTAAGTGGATGTTTGGTGAAGGGTTTTTGCACCCTTTGGTTGAGAAGGAAATGGGGATACATGAATTGACCCACTGCAGACCACAGTCGCAGGTGGCAAGGTTGCAGGTCACAACCCTTGAATGGTGGTACCTGGATCGGTTGAACCCCAAATTTACATAAGATGCGTGATAGCCTCAAAAAATATACATAATATCTAATAGTGTGTATTAGTCCGCAAACTTAATAATACATACGTCATCGTTAACGAAAAAAATTAGTTAAAAATTTTCGATCTCAGAAAAATGAAAAAATGTTGAAACACAATATTTTCTTTACAAAAAAAATATCGAGAAATCAGAGAAATCGAACAGAAATCGGCATGACAAAAGAACGATTTAAACTGGTGGATTCCAATGAACGATAAACTCATAAAGTTACTTTTTTTTCAATTTTACGACTATAAAGTCTACAATTACTTTCGAAGGTTTTGCGTAAAACTCGTAAAATGAGCAAAGTACTTTTTTTTTTTCTTTCGTTTGCGACAATGGATCGTAACGTGATTCAGGCTAATTATACTCGGTTAGGCAGTACTATTGTGAAAGTGGTGCAATATTTTTTTTTTTTTTTTTAACGAAGGAAACAAAAGAAACATTGTAATTTGTACTACTATTTACGGAGACAAAAATCTGTTACTCACCGTTCGCAGTTTATATTCCGTTTGCTCGAACTGATTGCGAAACTCAAGCTGAAGATCCTCTTGGTCCCAAACTATTTGCTCCAAGCCGACTGCATACTTTTGCATGTATTCGTACGCATCAATAAGGGCTGTGTCGAGCTGTGAAAAGAAGAAACAATTTTTCATAAAAATAATATCCTTAGGACAATCTTTGTATAGATTGAATTTTGAAAAAATATTATCTAGACAAATCATATTGCATACATACCTCTAATCTATCGAGGTACTCTTGATCCAGCATTTCTCCTAATTGCTTGGGAATTTCGTTCAGTCCAGGAAGCCAGTCGTAACGATTATCCTTAAATGTCGAATGCAGATCGGCGAAGTCGATGTTGAAGGTTCGTTTGGCCTAGAATTATAAAATCAAATCCATATTGTAAATATGCAATTAATCTGATACGAGTGAAAGAAAAAATTGTAGAAGCATTCAGTTTCATCGTTCTCCTTCCTTCGATATGAACACACCACAAAAATTGCATTATTGCCACATATAAAGTTGCTAAAGAAAATATGCAAAATTTAACCTTTTACATTTGTATTCGCTTAAGGCCCAAGGCAAGCATATTCTTCTGATGTAGTTATAAATTTTTGATCAAGAAACTAAATATCTATTTTGCGTTAAAAGGGAAACTTCAAAGGCCAAAAATATACGCTGTATCCTCGATATAGTGGTTAAGAGTAATATACAACAGCAAAAGGTTAATATTACTCGAAAAATGGTACTAAATCCAGTATACAGCTTGTTAACCAGTTTTTGCCCACATAATCGTCAGGATAATAAAAATGAAAAACGAGTACAAGAAGGTATCAAAGTTCTTAACGAAGAAAGAATAATTTCATCAAGCTGGGTCTCACGTTACGCGTAAATTACCAGTATCAGCACACCAAGGGTACCAATGATCGGCCATGAAACACTAAACGTCTTTATCCTGATACACCGGGCACGGTATTCATCACCAATCGTTCATACATATGCAAAAATTTTGTGCACGGCTCTTTCATTATGGGAGCAGTATGGTTCAATAACAGGTTAGCGGGTTTAGTCACCGATTAAACGAGCACCAACAGCAGCACTCCCGATATCCCTGATTCCTGGTACGATGGGAACGTGGACGGATGAGTAAGCATAGTCACCCAGGCTATCCTATATGAAATAGCAGACTTCGGCTACGTTGCTGACTTTTTGGGAATACCCGAGAGGTGGGTCAACTTGCGAAAGCTAGACCTTTTACCCAGAAATTACTTGGAAACCGAGGCGCCAAGCCAGACGCTTGCTTAGCTTAACTGATCGATGCTCCTTGTTAAATTCAGAAGCGAAAACTCTAAACGCTATGAATCATTGTCACATGGAGGGAACGAAGGGTGAAGCCCTCTCGGTTCGTGTCACCGCTTCGGGATGGTCCATCGGAGGCCACGTTCCACGAAATTTTCACTACCGAGCGCATTATTCCAAATGGATTTAATGGAAGGTCAACGTTGGCACGCGTTGAAACGTTAGAGACATCATTTCAAGCGTGTGCTCATTTGATAACAGCGATGCAATTTAGTTGCAGGTTCGTTTGAAAGGAAATTCTTTGAAAAGAGAATTGTGTGACTCAAATGAGTGCACGTTTTGTATAGTTATAGAGGGAGAGAGAGGAACTTTTCTTAACCCTTTCATTCATTAATTAAATACGTCAAATGAGCAGAACTATCACTGAACGTGTCTTCGACCTCGCGCCTCGGACCAGCTGGGCCGCGCTAAGATAACAAAGTTATCCAGACCCTTATCTGACCCAGGAATGGAAATAATCATCGCGTGATACTATTCTTACGACCTGCAAACTGCGATAATACGTTGACAAACAAACAGCATTCCTGAGAATCACCCGACTGTCAGGAAACATTAAATATTAAAACTTTAATATAATATAATATAATAACACATTAATTTGATCAATTGTTAACGATTTATATCCGATTATTACACAATAGATACCACAACAAAAGGGTTAAACACTGGAGAGGGATGAATCCCGAGCATATATAACCAGATTTCAGTGTAACCAAAGCTAACCGCACTCTTTGATCGGTAATCGATCCTTTGATGGGTTACGAAACCCACCATGGAGCTATAAAAACCTTCCAAAACAGAACGGTCATTGGTTGCATCACAAACTATTATTATCATTATTGACCCTTTTAAAATGGAATGAATTTGAATAGTTGAAAAGATAATTGCAAATGGTACACCCTGTACATTTTGTTCCTGTCTAGGAAAGGTGGTGTATTATCGATTTCGAAACGAATGGGTCGGGTGAAATGCGTGGGGTATATCTCTGTTACTGTTGCTTCGTTCCAAGGCAATCACGAGGAACGTTTTTAGCGAAAGAACGGATAAATAAGAACAGGGTAAAAAGAAAAAGCGAAGAATGAAAGGAATTGTCGCTAACAACCACTGGCGGCGAGCAAATCTGAGACGCGGGTCTTTTGTGCCTCGTAAAAGTCTCGTCGGCCACACCGGGGCACGGAATAATCGTAAAACCGTGGCTGAAAACTGACAGGAAGTAGGCTGGCAAGAGAGTAGGTATGGTCTCTGCGGTACTACCGAGGACCCGTCAAAATCAATTAGCCTCTCAGTCTTTCTTCTAGCGCGGCTTCACCCTTCCGCCGCTTATTAGAAGTGATAAAATTTCGGTGTGACGGCCTCGAAACGATCGAATGGCTCGCGAGACACAAAGGAAATCGTTTCTTGTCGAAGAAAATCGAACTTCAATTCGAATTTTTCGTCAAATCAATAATAGTCGATTCTGACAGATGATCAATTCATTTGTATCAAAAATCTTGCTGAAACGTTTATACAGTCATTTTGATCAGACTCTAAACTTTAAATTGATGCATCACAAGTGCTATTTTGTAATAATTTTCTGTCATGAAATTGTGTCAGACTGTTAACAATATCTCATCTACTGCTTTGATGTTCATTGTATTTGACAACTAATCATTTTGTATTAAGAATCATAATGAAAGGCGCGCTTATATAATAATATTCCTCAAAGCTTAATCTTTAAATTGATATGCCATAAGTGATATATCCCAATACTTTTATGTCATCAAATCATGCTAGACTGTTTATACGTTTTTGTTGCGACTCGTATCCGGCACATAGTGTCTTTGTTTTGGATTTTAGATTTCAGATATTAAAATTGGATATAGTAGCAGGAGTAGAAAATTGTGTGACACGTCCTTGTAAAGTGTCATGACCAATGTATATGCGATTACATATACGATATTCAGTTGTCGATGGATAGGAAGTCCGACGTCTACGAGTCGCGTATATGCGCGTCGGTACGTGAAGGAATCGGGTAAAATATCGGAAGCGGAGGATTCCAATAAATCAGAATCGGAAGCTGCCCCTCCCCGCCAAGGATAGGGCATCTATACACCGCACCGGTACTCCGCCTGCATACTAAAGCGCAGACCGGATATACAACCCGCCAATGCATTTACTCGCCTGGATACATTCAGTACGCACTACGACACGTATTTTTCTGCTACTCTGCTCACTGAACAGCGATTCGTACCGTTTCATTCAATACTGACATATTTTTCTAACTTCAATCCCAATTCCACCTACCCTCAATGATTTACACCCTTCTGCAATTTGTAGAAGTTGACTTTTGCAGTGGAATCTGTACAAATAATAGATTGCTACATTTTTCTCAGGATAAAAGATTGAATTTTTTATATTCAGACAATTAAATCTGAAGAGTGTAATGAGCAGAATAATAAAAATTTTAAGTACCGGCTGTTGATGCTGATGTGAATAGAGACCTTGCAACAATGTTACCATAATCGTATACAAAATTTAATACTGGGTCAAAGAGACCTAACATTCCATGTGAGGGAGTTAATCCAATCAAAGAGTGAGTAGCAGTAACAAGTGACAAACAAACAAAAGGATTCGCGGATCGAAATAGTATCACGAAGCCAGGCCACGTGCACGCGGGAGCAAAATCGGTCTCACGAAACTTCCTTGCTTCTCGGTATCCTTTGGCTAATCTGCCTTTCCTCTACACAATGTTTGCCGACGTTGAAACGATAACGAGACCAGGAAAGTGACGTCACTGGACCACCAGACAGTGCGTCGCCAACAGTCGCTATCAACATCAGGGACGTCCCATTGGATTCTCCTCGTTGGAACACCGTTGACCATCGCGAAACTTGCTTTTCCTTCCCGAATGAAGCAAAATGATGCGTTTCGAGAAACCAGAGGAAAAGAAAGAGAAAGGCAGAGGAAGAAAGGCTGTTAGCGATATCGGATTATGCGCTGACTTAGAAAACATCGGTATCGAGTATCGTCGAACAGTGATGTAACGTTTCCACAACGACTTTGGTGGGACCACAGGGCGGAACGGGCCCTATACGCACAAAGGAACACACAAATACCCTTTACGGTCGCACGCAATGAATGTTAATTCCTTTACAAAGCAAGGATACCAATTGTCCGACTTCGATTTTTAAACGAGTTTCTCGAAAGATGACGGCATACAGGTTCCTAATGGCACAAGATGTTGCAAAAGTAACTAAATGAAGTGTTTCTTTAAAAAATTAATAGAATTGGAAATCAGATATTTGCTAATTATAGGTTTTAAATTAGTTGGTTCATCATTGCAAACATCACTAAATCAGATTTCTACTAATCTTGAAGCATAAATGAAAAGATAATATATTTTCTAATTTGTAGACCCAACGAGCTCCCTGCTTGATCCTTCTAGGGTTAAGGAAGAATAGAAAGAAACGTGGTCTAAGACGCAGTGTAATTTAAACTGCAGGTTGCATACAAGGATCCCGAACGCGTCCCGAAGTGTATAAAGAAACAGGAAGCACGTGGAACGATCGTCAAGGATGAGCCTGACGAGATCCAAGAATTTGGCGGGCACGTAAGGACGTTCAGTTAACTGGAGACCCGGAATCGTGTCGACACGTGTGCACGATGCATAACTAGGGGGAGGAGGGACGAGCTTAATCTATCCTAAAAAGAAAGAAAATTAAGCAGAGTAAAGTTTCGCGTGTGTAACCGTAGCTTCGATCCGTAGTTGCGGTTTCCACGTCTCTTTTTTCGGATCGTTTCAGAAGAGGAACCTTGAGCAACGAGAGAGGCCGAACCCGGACCGTGATTTATTGTCCTTGGTTAGAGATAATAAGGCACGATCGGCTGGGAAGATTCTTTCGAAACGAAGGATCTTCGTGCACGGTCGCACGGATCTATTTTCTTTTCCTTTTTTTTTTCCTTCACCCCCTCCCACTCGAGATCGCTTACACATTTGATGATATTCAGGAAAAAAGAAATGTAACGGAGCGAGCTACCTGCTGCTGTGTGAACTATGTCAGTAGGGAATGTTTAAAGGGAGAACGAAGGATTTTCCTTTGGTTCCTGCACGTCTCTTTAACTCTTCAGCTACTAAGGGTTGCTACACTGGATTAATTAATTTAATAGAAATTTTGATATGATAATTAAATGCAAAAGCAAAGAATTTTTATGGTAAAAATTTTTCATTCCAAGTGAAGTAAAATAAACTTTTAACATTTAGTACTATAAAAATGAATTAATGAATAAAACAGAAAAATTGATTGAAAAAAGAAATCGAGGCACGTATGTTCAACAATTATGGAGATAAAAATTTTTTGTGAAAGCAATTATCATAAAAATTGATGAAACTTTCAAACTTCCTGTATTTTCCAAACCAATTTTGAAAGCATTAAAGTGAAGATGTAATTTCACGACTCCTGGATATTTTCATATGGATCATAAATATTATTCTTTTGGTGCAATAATTTTATGCTGCTAGATTGCCAAAATATCACACACGCGGTACCGAGGAATTTGATTTCCAATGATTGGAAGGATACTCTGTATTTACCAGCAATAAAAGATACATGTACTTAGGTATTGCTCGCAATAAAAGAAACGGGGATAATCTTATCGCGGCCGCTTTCCAATCGACGATAATATTCAAACATTAAAGTCCAGCCATTACATAAAGAGATATTTTAAGTTGCAAATAATACTGTTCAACAAATTTTGCCCTTTTTTTGAGCTTGTTTGGATCGAAACGTTGCAACCACGTTTGTTTCCCTTTTAATTTACTCGAACAGGCTACTCTGTGTCTATATAATATGTTTTCTCATTTTTTATTGAAAATATCAAATATTTCAAATTTAATTCAATTTAAGATTTCATTTTAATTTCAGTTTTAAGTATCAATACAGGTCATTTTCATTATACCTTAGAGAAACAGGTAGCTCCTCAGATTATAAAGAAAATTTTCGAAACGATGAAAGTAAGATTTTGACAGGTGAAAATGAAGCGGGACTATATCGTACGAAAAACGATTCGTAAGATCTGTTTCGAAGGTCTGTGTGTGACTCTACGATCAACGTCCGTACGACCGGAAGTACTGCCATAACTGCCTTCCGCTTGATGCCCCCCTTCCCCGTCCGACCCCCATCAGAAGTCACGTCGGTAATTATTGAACCATTGATGAACTTAATCTTTATGTCTGATTGACGAAACATTTTCAAATTTCAAAGAAAAAAAATGTCTCACAAATGAGACAACGTTCCACTGACAATGAGCAAAATAAGAGACTAATTCTTCTTCTAATTTTTCCAATTACTTTCTAATTGCAAGAAGAGATTCTTTTGAAACACCATATTTCAAAATAACTATTAGCAATTTAATTGACTCTATCTGGAAAGGAAGGACAACGCAACGAAACCTAAAGAAGAACAGCAAAATGATATCATTGTAAAAAGGTACTCACGTAATCATCACGAAAAAGCTGTGCGTGCATCAGGGCTGTTCTCGCTTGAACAACAACTTGCGATAAAAGCTGCGAATCTGTAAGCTGCACCACATCCAAATCACCGTTAAAATCTTCGGCAGCGAGGCCACATGGGTTCACCCACTTCGGGGGTAAGCTCAGTCGTCTGTCTTCGAGGGTCATCGTCGGAGCACCGTGCACTGAGACCACGAGCAGAGTCACCAAAAGACTACCTAACCCTGAAAATCAAAATAATCCTATAAATAATTAAAGTCACGATCTGTTGACAGCTTAGGTTTCTGAATAAATTTCAAGTTTTATTCAACTGCATCATTAATGTCGACGATCTTTCCTCATTTAGATTTGAACTAACTAAAGTGCGTAACAATCCTATAAGGAAAGATTTGAAAGAGATCAAGTAAAATTGTAATAAAATTTAAATTCTTCGATTCTTACTTCCAATTGTCGACAAACCAAACGTTTCGATACGCAATTAAATGAATTGTCGGCGATAAGAATAATTGTAGCAATAAGCGATTTGACGTGAGAGGTTTCAGAGTGGATGCCCTCGAGAGAAATTATTCCGCAGCTTCCGGCTTGTTGTTTCTACCATCCCGTCGTACATCCCCCCCGCGCCGTTGGTTCACCCTTCGCCGATAGTGAGAGCCTAAATGGTAGGATTCCGATCGAGGCCGTCTTATGATCATCCGGCAGTTTCGGGATCACTGCTCGTCGAATTACATCCACGCGAATTCGTCGTCGCATTATTTCACGAGTTACGAGCCTTGATGAGGGGCCTGGAATCACGTGCACCACCGATGCGACGACAAACCATCGGCAGTCGCGTACGCATTCGGACGATGTATAACAACCGCGGCCAACCGCGTACCGGAGTTCCCTTTTCTCCGTTTAAATACCCTCGTCCCTCCCTCCAGGATATTACCGGCCGTCTTCAATGTTCCAATGAACACCTTATGATGGATTTGTAATGCGAGGGTTCATCTAAACCGCGTTGTTTCGCGAATGCTCGTGGCGGACCATAAAGAGACGCAGCCAGCGAAGCCTTAAGCAGCTGATCAAACCACCTGTTCCAACGTTAACAAACACAATCTATCGTGTTCAGATCATCTAGTTATCGATTAGAAGTCTAATTAAACAGAATCTGAGCCGTTTCTAAAGAGATTCCCGAAAGAAATGATAAAGAACGTGGATCTAACGGTCGCATCAGGGACCAGCGAATGTAGGTATGTTGTTCGATCGCAGGGGCGCTTACGAATTTAATTTCAATGTGCAGCTACGCGTGATGCAACGTGCACGACGGACGCGTTCCCGAGTCGCAAGGAGAAAAATAAACGGACAAAGAAAGAGAGAGAGAGATACAGCGAAAAGGAGAGAACGAGGGGGGAGGACAGGGAGACACCTCGGACACTTAACGCATATTAATGAGCGGCTCTTAAGTGCGTTTCGCGTCTCGGTGAGAGAGTAATTTGCCGCAGGGAAGTTTGCTCCCCGTGAAAAACCGTGTCTGGTCGCGTGCATCCATGCGATTCTGCGCCTCCTCCCCCGCGGGCCAATCGTGCCCACGTGGGAGGGGTCAAGGTGAGAAAACGCAAGAAGACAACGGTTCTGCGCACAGATCATAGGGCAATAGTTGGCCAGACAGACTATGATAATTGTTTCAAGCTGTCGGTTCTCGAGCCTCCGATGAGTTCATTCTTGGTATTCGACGGCCAGAAGCGTACGACGATAAATTAGAAGGCACGAGTCTCAGCTTTAATCGAGCAGATTATAATGGAATTCGGCCGAGAATATAGATAGGTCACACTGCGGCAAGTTTCGACGATGGTCACGTGAATTGGCTTGCACGCACTTGCATCGGCCACGTGAGCTCGACGATCGACACTCCGGCATGATCCACGATAAAATTTCGCCCCGCTCCGTTTAGAAGAAACAACAAACCGAGAGGTTTTCGTGCTTGCAGCCGGTTTCAGCGTTTGTGGAATGGGAAGAAAACGGACGATTCAGTGGAACGACGATTAAAACGGAAAACGCGCAATTAGAAACGGATTATCCGTTAGCAAGTGCGCGAAAGAAGCGTACACGCTTGGAAACAAGTACCTATTCAATAATGCAGCAAGTATTTTTATCGTACCAGAAGTTGCCACCGATCCCAGGTAAATGATCTTAACATGTACGATTATATTTCCTTTCTTGTCGTACGCGTACGCATCGTGTACTTTCTCCTGTTTCTTTAATTGTGCCACATTTTTCTGCCGCTGAAAGTTAATTACTATACCGATGTGTCCACTCCGCGACCGTCCAAATTTGTCCGGGAAGGGAATTGCGACGATGAGTGCCTCTTTCGAGCAAGTTCGCATTCTTAAGCCGTAAGAAATGGAAAGAACCACCTGTGGATCGCGACGTTGCAACCTTGCCACCTGGAACGCATCATCGCATTTGCTTCGACTAACAATTCTACCGCGATTATCTTCGAATTAAATCTTTTTTATTTTTTATCTTTTCCGGGGGTTTTAAGGAAGATGAAAAATTAAACCATCGATGAGACCGAACTTAACCGGATGACGTTTTCCCGCGCAACGACGGCCGATTACCGCGCTTTTTGGTAGCCGGTCATCTAACGGTCGACACTCGCGTCTTTTGTACGTACTTTAGCCCCCCTGGACGGTGTCGACGGTACACTCTAGGACCTACCTCAACGACGATGCCACGGCTCCGGCGTTCCAACGAAATTCCAGAGAACCCGCGACCGCTTGGAAAAAAGTTAAGACGCGCTAAGCCGGTGCAAGGAGCATCTCTGCTCGCCTGCAAGAAGATGTTGAAAAATGCGGTAATGACGCACTGTCCTCGCATTACTCGCGACAATTATACCCCATTACGCCCGTCCCGCCACCCCCTTATCATCCAGATCATGCCCATGCCCGGATCCGTGCGCGTTGCGGTAGGTCGCGGTACGTGTCGACCGTCTTCTACTGTTTATTCTAACCCGTTCTCCGTCTATTCTTTACATCATCTTCCACCGAACGAACCTCCAGCTGCAGACGCTTCGACCCACCCGAATTTTTAATACACGGAAGTCAAGACGACCCGTGAAAATTCAATCAGGAACGTTCAACAGGTGGGCGCGTCCGTGTCACATTTTTCGTCGATTTCGTGGCAAATTCTCTCGCGATTCGTAATTGATCGATGAAGAGGAGGTTGCACGCGAACGGATCACTTTCGAACCGGACGAAGAGGAATCGATAAGAACGACCGTTACAAGAAGGATGACTAACGCGTTCATCGACTTGTTCAAAAGTGACGTCAAACATTGACAGAGAATGCCACCAGGGACAATGGATAGACGAAACTAAAAAAAGAAGATACATTGCGCGATCACGTTTGCCAGACTCCCGCTTACGTTCGAATTTCAGCAAAACGCGTGATTTATCTTCGGATTTTGCAAAGTTCCGAACGGTAAGCTTCGTGACGATAGGAGCGCTGGTCGACCAGGCGCAGCCTCGATGCAACAGGTGAGACGGGGTGAACGAATCGCGCGAAGGGTGAAATTTCGACGCGACGATAGAAAAGTAAGAGGTTCGTAGAGAAGAAAATAGAATAGAGGAAAGATGCTGGACGATCGTTACGTAAGAAAGCATTGGTTTTACGTGAGTCAGCGTCAGATGCATAGGACGCGCATTGCACATCGAACGGAGATGCGTAAAGCGATAATGAATGACACCTATGCAACGAGGCACGTTTTTCCATTAACTGTAACTCGTTACACGCTGACTGTAACCGAACGATGTGTATAAATTTGATTCGTAGGGGAATAAATCAATCGAGACAATGACACAGAAACGTATCTGACCGTATCAATTCAGAGAAGCCGTTGCAGCCGGAAGGAGGATGCAATTTTTATGCTGACAACAACATTTAGAAACGCATAATTGTGAAATTTTTTATTTTGCACTTTTATTTTTTCGAATGGAAAGAAAAGATCAAGATGGTTAAAAAGGAGCTAGTTTTGCCGGGGCTGTCGTTGGCACTCGACCATCGACGCGTTCTAGAGTTCTGGTAGACTTACTGAGCCACGTGGTCGTAGTGACAGATGGAGTGTGTCTCGAGCGCATCCCTCGATCGTCGTAGAAGGCAGGTACGAGGTACGAATCACACGATAAGTGTCTTTGATCGCGATCGTTTCTTTGCAATCTCGGGCTGATTACTCTCGCGTATCGGGCATTCGTCTCCCGGCTGTTGCACCATTTCGTCGATGTTGTCAGACCGCTGGGGGACGTCTTGGTCGGTCCGTTTTGGGTGATACGATGATCGAGAACTCGGTGAGAAGTGGTCCTTTGGTCACGGCTCAGAATCGCCTCCATTGTCATTTGCCGATCGTGAGCGATCGCGGTATCCTCGGCAACTGTCATAATCGCATAGCACTTGATCACTCTGGTGGCACGCGGACACTCGCGGTGGCGCGTGGCAGTCAAGGAGCAAGCGAGACGTATCCTATCCTCCGCGTGTACCAGCGCCAATGTATCGCGCCGCTACTGTTACGGCTTGCCGATACCCTGACCCCTCTGATTCGTCGATAAAACGCACTGTGACGAGCGACGCTCGGTGTATCGGAGGACGCGCGGGCAGCCCGGTGTGTCCGCGAGGGCACGGGCAATTACTATAGGTGAAAAACTGTCCGCACCGAATCACAATCCGTTTCGCACTGGTCCTGACACACGCGACGCACTGATTCTTATACGAGGGGGGAGAAGAGGGTGACACGAATGCCGTCTCAGGGAGGGGGAGGTAGATGCTTAAGAATGTGGCGGGGGAGAGTTACGCGTGGAAAGGAAAAAAAAAGAATCAGTCTGATTACACCGATAATTGTAAGGGTGGTCCTCGGTTTCTTTTTTTTTTTTCTCTCAAATGTCCTTTTCTCTATACCGTTGGCCGGGTTGCGTGTCTCTGTTCGTCCCGTGGTATATATCCCTTTCGCCGGCAACGTCTGCGGACCCTTTTCGGTATTCTCAGCCCTTGTGTTGGCGGCACCTTGTTAGTCGCGCGCCAGTGGGGTAAGGTCGTACCATACCGAATGTCAGGAGGTGACTGAGGTATTCGTTGCCCTCGTCCGGCTGAGTGTATCGAGTGTATCACCTCTCGGCTCTGTCCGAGTTAACCATGGCGCAGAGGAAGGTAGGTAGGTAGGTATAGAAACAGAGAAGGAGAAGCCAGCTATAGGCAGGCTTGTTCGTTCGTCGTTATAGTAGGAGTGAACCTACGTAAGGGAATGGAAGTGGAAGGTGGACTTCTGTCCGTCTGCCTTGCTTGTCGGTAGGTCGTTTCTCTTGCCCCGTTCCCTCTCTATCTATTGTGTATTCTCTTTACCGTTCTTCTTCTTCTTCTTCTTCTTCTTCTTCTTCTTCTTCTTTCCTCACTTCCTTTCTTTTCCTCACTCGCCGACTTCTTCTTCCTTCTTCGACAAGAGTTCCTTTTCCTCCTTTATCTCCTGCCCGACCGAGTGTATGACTATCACAGTGTATGGTAGTGGGCACTCGGTCGACCGGTGCCTATATACGATTGTAAAGGCATCGAAGCACGTGGCCCACACCCCGCTTTCGGTCAAACCTAAGTATCCCCACTCAATCGTCACCCTTCCTTCATCAACCAGCCGGCTGGCTGGTTCACTCGCTCGCTCGCTCGCTTTCTCGTTCTTTCTCAATCTCTCCTTCCTCTCGTTACGATCTTTGCTTCTCTTCTATTATTCTCTCTTCCTTCTCCTCCGCCTCCGCCACTCTGCCACCTCCTGTCGACGGTAGACATCCCCTTCTTCGCTCCTACTTCGCGCTGGCCCCCCTCCATGCGACACTCGTGGGTCAGGACTCCGCGACTCATTCATAACTCCCCGTCAGCGACCACTTTACCCCCACCCATCGGTTCTATCCCCACTCCACGTCGCGTAGTAGATGCCGGGCATCTAAACGAGCCGATCCCGGAGACTTCGCGGTGGAAGTCTCAATGCCTATACCGGCACGTTCCGACAACCTTCCACTCTCGCAGGTGCACACCGCGATACCATCTGTCACACAGATCATTGAAAATCAACTTTGTCTTCGTTGAAGCGATGATGATGATGGATGGATGGACGCTGTGTCCTTGCAAATTTCTGGACGAAGATATTTTTCCATTTTTTCGTAAGATTCCAGTACAGAAATTGAATTTTTCCTTTGCACGAAATCGGGTTGTCATGTCAGAATTTCAATCCTTATCATCTTTCCTTTCGTTCCTCCTTCAGTTGTTGGATTCGGATGTTGCCATTTCACGCTTTTATTATTAATATTCATCTTTTAAGAACTATCTCACATGAATTCACGTGCCGTGCTTCAAATTCTTCGGTATGTCAGGCAGAGGATGCCTCAGTATTCGCAGCTGCTCGAACGTTCCGTCGTCGGCACGCGAGTTGTTTTTCCGCGCTCGCAACGAAAGATGCATCGTTAGCCGGTTCGTTTGCTCTCGTGAGAATCAACATTGTATTAATGTGTTTTTATAAATGACTGGCAGACCGAGAGCGGGCCGTTTCCGTGGGGGCATCCCGGTACAGGTGAGCAGGGTTTGCGTCATTAGCGCTGTCGTACGCGCGATTCTGTTAATTATCGTTGTCGACAAAGGCGCGACACCGTTCGTACCGAAATCCGAGATACGCCGTTCAGAAAACAACATTTTTGTATGCAACGCATTCGTGGGACGGTGTTCGTCTCTCGAACGTGCAATTAAAGAGACGACTCGTCGACGTCAGAACGTCCAGCGTGTGTGCGCGTTACACACAGACGTTTCCGCAGACATAACAACGTTAATAATAGAGAAGATGACGATAATAGTAATAATTGTGAGGTCTCGATGATCGTGCAACAGGCGTCTATTAATTGCAGACGAGATTGGGACGATAACAAACGAATGCTCGATGAAAGATGACAATTACTAGGATCTACGATGATGATTCGTCGTCCAAGACTTTTTCAGTAGACAAATTTTTACGATTGATGAATGATTTCTATTTGCTACCCTGACTCCGTATTTTTTCTCCTCGCCTTTTAATTATTGACGACTTTTCCTTAGACTGATTTCCGCTACGTATTTTGTTACTCAGCGAAAAACCCTTGTTAGTTCGAAGGAAGTTGAAGATTCTTCATTAAAAGGAAATGACGGTACTTCTATGAATAAACGGACGATATTTCTCTGATACGCTTTTTCTCGGAATATATCCTAGCACCGCCAAGATGTCATTTTCTCATTAACAGGAAATTGATTCGAGTTAATTGCATTGTTTCGTGCGATACTGTACACAATCAATATCATACCACGCATCGAAGTTGTATTTATATCGTTTATTTTCATTTACACAAGGGGGATAATCATTTTGTCCACTTTCCGTACTTCCGTTAATTATAATAATATGAAGAAATTGGCATTTTCTGAATAAGTCTGAATTCTCTAAATTGGTCCAAGACCAATGCTCCCATCGTCGTATTCAAATTTCATTCAAACTTATCTTTATCCCTATTTAAAATAAAAAACAATCAGCTAGAACAGAAATGTATGTCTCATTCTTACGGTGTTAAATTTTAGCCCTACTCTATGACTAACGATAAGTAAGCGATTTCTATTACATCAACCTTGAAAATCGTGTTACGATCAGGCTAACGGTTTGTAGATTTTGATGTCACGGTTGAATCGTCCGTGACATCACACGGAGATGAAAAGTAGTGTGAAAGATATCACGGGTTAAAATAGGATCGATCCTCGAAAGTAGACGTCAGAAGGTTTCGAAACAGGGTCGACCCACCTGTTCCGTCTCATCCTTCTACTTTCGCTGCTATCGGTCTCTTACGGTACAAACTGGTTAACAGAATGACGTAGCAATTTTCACAATGATTACGCCTGTCTCGCCGATACTTGCGAAAGAATTTCGCGCCTACGATGGCACACGCGTTCACGCCGCTCTACGTCACGCTTCATTTTCGGGGTCAAGTGCAACAGAAACGTCCGAGAAATCGCGGGGACACGTAATACGTGTATCAAGATACGCAGGAATGTTATATAACAACAAAGATAAGGATCTCGTATGACGTTATTCATGATGCGAATAGTATCAGCCGGTGAAGTGAAAATGACAAAAATAACATTTCATTTGTTGTTAATTGCTTTTCCTTGAATTGTTGCATCTGACTAAGAGAGAAATCCCCAAGTGTCCCAACTGTACTTCTACTTCAGTTAATTAATATTGCTCTACGTTCGCTAGAGTTGGGTCAAGATTGACGCAGGATTGAGTGGTAAATTATAACAACTTTTGTATACTTAATTATATTTGAAAGCATCCCTTACGGTACACCATATATTGGGCACTAATATTTGCACCCCTTTCGTATACAAATAGTAACCTAATCATCAGTAGCTTATGATGGAAGAAGTACTTTTGCATGCACCGAAGATTTAATCCGATTAAGAACCATAGTGTTACAAATTTGTTTAACGTTAATTGCACGAAAAGCAAGAATCCGTCAATTGATACGATGTTTCATCCGATTAAATTTAATAAGCTGTTATTGCACCCTCCGTGCATCAGAAAGTTAATCCGTCAGATTAGAAGGCAGGTAACTACCTCTGAGAGTCATAAAAGGGGTAAAGACTAGCAGGGGATGGCTAAGAAGCAGTGGTTCAGTGTCTTCATCAAAGTTAAACGTCGCACGACCGAATTCATTCTACTGTTACTCAACTTCTTATGGGATTATGCGGGTCATCGCCGGTTGGGGAAGTACGCGTGCCGATTCGAACTATCGGTGATATATGTACCTCCTAGAAACTCTGTCCACCTGTCGCGTGCGTTCTCGCACGTTTGTTACGAATTTCAACGTTCACTATCTCTTCTAGAGGAACCTTGACATTTTAGTCTGCCTTTCAATGATTCGGATTGATCCAGATACAGATTGATACAGTATTTTAAATTCCTTTACAAGTAAGAATTTCAAGTAAGAATAAGCAAGTGAATTAATTAAATTTTAATCCTGAAATTAATTCTCTATGCTACTAACAAAATTCAAAATTCTACATCAGCGTCATTAATAACCAGCTACCTAATTAATTCTACGATATAGTGTTTGCACTAATCACTCAAGTTGTACGTTTCTTTCAAATGATTCAAAGTAATCGTAAATCTTCCTACGTTATCGTTAAAAATTGCATTAGAAGATGTGAAATTTCGCCTCTGTGTAGTAGACACAGATAATCGAGTGTATCTAGTGGAAAAAAAAAACTCGTGAGGACGGTCACGTATGGTAACTGGTTAAATTAAAATGCTGCTCCTCGCAGAGTGTGTCACTCGCAAAGCCCGTGCTTGTTTATTAATTAAACGATGAAGATGTTAATAAGATTCTAAAACGGTACGGCTATAAACGGCGCCGATCATTAGAAATTCAGAATTTTATTCCCTGAAATGTATGATTCTCACAATGAATTTTCTAATCGACGATGACTATACATTTATGTGTATTATTTTTGTTTTCTGGATTGTAAAATATTTGGACTAAAATATTTATACAATTGACTTTAGTCTAAATATTTTAAGGATTAAAATTTTAATATACAATTAATAGTCTAATCATCACCAACTTGTGACAGAAAAGCACCTACTGCATGCACCTAAGAATTAATCCGATTAAGAATTATCCGTTTTGTGTAAATGAGATACAAAACCAGAGGCAAATAAGGCAAATATTCGGTAGTTAATACTTGCCTAATCCGATTGACTTTCACCTTTCGTACATCAGAAGTTTCACTTAAATGAAACTATCTTTACAAAACTAATTTAATCTTTTCGTTTACACGATTTAATCTCCCTACCAAAATTATTTTGTAATTTACCACTTCTCTCTAAAAAATATAGTTTTCTTCTCAAAGTATTGCTGCAATTTTCGAATCATCTTCATAATCGTTCAATCAAAATTATGAGAGAAATTTGACTCGGCTTACATTGCAAATATGACTAAACTAAAATTAGTAACCACGTAAACGTTATTTTACAAATCTGTCATCGCAGCTGCGAGAAATTAGTGGCGTGCGTCAGTTCGTTGATTATTTGCATGCAAGATTTCACTTCCGGTTCAAACACGCCATGATAGGGTTAAGTGGTGACTTAACCAGTCGATGTTACCCAGAAAATGTATGCATCTTTGTGATCCAAAAATAAAAAAAAACAAGCACGAAAAACAAAAAAAGGAAACATCACACTGGCGCCAGTTGCTTTATTAAATGAGTCAACGTGATTAGTGTTTCGCGGGAAATACAATAGTTTTCTGAAAATTACTGAGTGACGAATGCATTTTGCCGACTTTTTAATGTCCGCTTATGGTGTCTACTTGTTATACAAATTAGCTGAATTTTATACCAGTCAGGGTGTCATCAATACACATCTACCGCTCGAAGTCGTAGGACAGAGAGAAAAGGATAATCCTTTTTTTTTTTAATGTTTATGAAATTTCAATAAGTAAGTGCCTTGTGACTTTTGAGCGGAAGAGTATATTAATTATGCATACTGTAACCAATAATCACTTCGAAATGCAAATTAAAAGTTAATACTCGACTATCAAGCCGAGTAGGTATTACATCAACTTATAGCATTATTCCACGGTAAATTTAAAAAACGATGCGGAAAAGGAAAACAATCGTGAATCTTGTGACGTCAAATAGCTCCTCTAAATATAGTAAATGACTTTTTGCCTAATGAACGTCAGTGCCTTAACGTTGATGCACTTCTCAAGTTTACGTATTCTTGTTTTTAAATTCTTCAGACAAATTTGCAGAAATATAAACAGTTCAAAAAATTACTTTAGAATGAGCAATAATGAAAATTAACCAACAATAGTTCATTT